CTGCGTAGCAACCCACTGACATCGAGAGCGAACCGTGTCGGAGGAAGTGAAGTGGGCAATGATCCACGGTCGTCATGGCAGTCGCTGTGGCATTGTGTCATCCTTCACCTCAGCTCACCTCCAGACGAGGAAGACCCCCGCCCCCCGCCCCCTTGCTGAAAACGAGTGGAGCCTCCCCCGTCAAAACACGCTCACTTATTCATGATGAGCCCCACCCAAATCATCGTAACAAAGGGCGGCGGAGCGTTCACTGTCTGTTTTTACTCTGAACTCTTGTTTCTGTTCGAACAGGGACGCAGTCATCAAGTGCTTCACCACCTGCCTGAACTGAAGCAAGCTTTCCATCAACGCYGGTCCCAGTCTGCAAACCTGCAAGAACAGAGACTTTGTAAAATAAACATTTTTTTACTCTTTATTCCTCCACACGTTGTCTGCACTGGACTGTGAATACACACTTCTCACATTTAGCTAAAAGCTTTAGTCTGTAATCAGAACCTAACAGCCGCTGTTCATGACAGTAAAGCTTCTGTCTGTGATTACTAATATATTTAAGATATTCCTTTATATTCTGAGGATGTTTTTTATTATTCGTTTGCAGGGAAATGATTTTCACTTCGTTTTGCAAAGCGTCTTACAACAAAAGTGCCTTAATGCTGTAATAAAATAAAGGTATATCTTTATATTTATGCCAAACCTTTGTATATTTACATTTTTAATGAGCATTGGAAGCATTAGAAACCTAACCATTGTTTTGTGTGTGAGAGTTTTTGTAAAAGCTCATATGAATGTTTTTAACTTTTGAGCCACTGATAAACCCTTTGGGATGCATAAAGCCCACGTTTCTTTGGAGATTCCATTTTTTTAAATCTAATTAGCTTTAAATGCTGCTTTTGTCTCTTCTCTTGGTCTTAAGTGTTCCCTGAAACACGCTGGCATCCCCCCACACTCCCCCCACCCACTCAATAAATTACATTAAAAATGCCTCTTCTCTTTTAAATCTGATTTTCCTGCCGCATGCGGCGACGACCCCGTTAACTCCGCTTTACTGAGCGTCGCGATTTGTGACGTGACCCGATAACCCGGCCCGCGTCTCCTTCCCCGCGTCGTTTTGGCATGCAGCCTTTGAGGATGTGGTTGTCATGACAACCGCCTCTGGAGGATGCATCGCCTCCGCCAACCCCCCATTTGTGGAGCAGATGTTCGCATTACGCCTAGGTGCCTTTTTCATTTAGATGGGATCCCTTGGACCAGAGGTTGTGATTGTTTTATTYTGATCTGACTTCAGGTTTGWTTTAAAAGACTTCATTTTCCTGTAACATCCTGGTTCTGYATCATTTAGTGGATAATATCTCGTTTTAGTTGAAACCTG